AATGCTAATAAGAATTTCCATGGAAACGGTTTAGACAGTTGCTATGGCGATTGACCACGTGTTTATACAATTACAGTGTTCAGCAGCTAATCAGCTATTCTTTAGCAGCTTTAGTGGAGCCATGCAGCTCTCTTACCCCGTTATATTCTTGTATAGACCACTACCTTCGAGCTCTTTGCTGCATAATCAGTGCTGGTCCGTCGGCGCCGCCATGATTATAAACCACACCGAAGTCAATATACATATTGTTTATTGATTTGGGTGTGGTTTATAATCATGACCGACAGACCAGCATCAAAGAGCTCAAAGGTAGTGGTCCATACAAGAATAGAACAGGATAAGAGAGCTGGATGGCTCCACTGAAGCTGCTAAAGAATAGCTGATTAGCTGCTGAACACTGTAATTGTATAAACACGTGGTCAATCGCCATAGCAACTGTCTAAACCGTTTCCATGGAAATTCTTATTAGCATTCGCAAAAATTAACGACGGTTTTTTTATATCTAGGTAATTTTAAAGTTTGTAATGACTCAATCAAAATTTGTTGATTGAAATTAAACCCACCATTTTTCATAGGCAGCTACATTAAGGCAATGCCTCAACTAAAACAGGAAGCATTTTATTAATAGATATTTATAACTTCCATTGACCCTTGACATCAATGATTTGCATGCTTATTGCCACACACACATCTCCAACTACTAGTTAAAATCTACACAATTTTTAACATTATGTGCATGCTCAGGCCTTAATGACACATGACCACAAATCACTAGTAACTAATTTTCCAAATTGTCCACTTACAAAATACAAATTACCAACTATACAGCATTATAATACTAACCAGTTGTTTCCATATTCTTTTATCAACATCAAGTAACCAGCAATCATCTTTAGAATATCCACCCACCACTAGTAGGTGTGGTCCAAAGTTACTATTAATAAATACACTGGAATGACCAGATCGTTCCTGAGGCTTTTGTTTTGATACTCTAAGATCAGAAAAATTCTAAACAATAAAAATGATACACATAAATAATGAAATCAGAATCAATAATAGCATGACAATATGTTGCTAAAAATACACTTACTACTGATGTGTGGCTAAAATTAATAATATAAGTATTGTTACTGTCTCCATCAGGAGTAGCCCCACCAAACAATATGGCACAGTCATTAGTAATTGATGTTAAAGTAAAGTAACTGATAGGAGGTGGTCTGTCTCCAGTAACATTAGGTGAACTCCATTTACCTAATAATAATAGATAAACATTAATACACACATAGATTGTACTTATCACAATCATACAATACACAAATACACACACACATATATTCTAATGAGTATACTACAATATACAATATAATTAATATACTATAATATACTGTATTATTCATAAAAGAGACATATAACATTTATACTAACCAGATGATACTTTATAATAATGAATCTCATTAGTTCGTTTAGAATTAGCTACCAATCTTTGATACTTAGCATTAGGTTGTGTGGGTGTATTGTTAGAAGATGGTCCACGTCCTCCAATTACTGCAAGATAGTCCTTACCGTTCAGTTGAAAAGCTACCATGCCACAGTAGCCTTTCATCATTGGGCCGTGATGAGGAGTAGTAGGTGAGAGTTCCCTCCAGGTGAATGTATCAACATTAAAACTGTACAGACTATTATGAAAACAGCTATCGTGATTACACCTTCCACCAAAATAAAATATCTCATTTCCAATGGCAGCAGATGCATAGGCCCAGATACCCAGTGGAGGATTACCAGTGGTGGGTTTCTGCTCCCATCTACCAGTAGGTAAATGGTATACCTCCATTAATGATGACAGTGCTTTCTTCTTATCATTATTGTGTACTTTAGGGAGATCAGGCTGGTCCCCACCCCACATATATAAGTAATCTCCTACTCTTACTGTAGAATGGTCACTCCTCTCCACTGGTTCATAGTCTATAAATAACAAGAGGTAACAGTACAGTAGCTGAGTCAAGAACTCCTCACCTTTTGATGCCATTGTAATTGTAATGCCACCTATACACAGCCAGAAATTATCATCTCTGACAGATACAGGCCACTACCCAAAATCAATGATTCGTGATCAAGCCTGATGTCTATTTTGATACAGCCCTGACTGGCATCAATATTGAATCATGTCTTTAATTCAATTCAGGGGCGGATCTAGGATTGGATTCTTGGGTGGGCCTTGATGATTTGGGTGTGGTAATTAGTGGGTGTGGCCAACAAGGCCAGCATTCAAAGTCAAAATTTTGAAGATTAAAGCTGTTAAAATGAGCTCCTTTGTGGTTTAAAAATTGTCTGCATAGTCATGCTTCACAGTTTACATAGTCATCCACATGAAAAAGTTGATTTTAAATTACTGCACAAAATTTTTGGGTGGGCCTGGCCCACCCTGGCCCACCCTAGATCCGCCCCTGTGTCTTTTGCTCTGGCTGAACCATGACTGTACTCCAGCATAGTTGCATCATGGATGATTATCATGATGTATGATGTATCATACTATAAAAATAGACTCATTGCTTTGCAGGCTACCCAAAATCAATGATACAGGAATGTATCAGGCTGATCATGATTGATATCAGTCATGATTCAAAGTAAAATTTTTGGCTGTGTATATGACGTCATCAAACAACTAGATCTATCAATAATTATGCCATTATCAGTGTTATTATCAGTACTAATTAATAATTAGTTTCTATTAATAATAATAATAATAATAATAACAACAACATCAACAACAACAACAATAATAATAACAATAACAATAACAGTAACAACAATAACAGTAACAAAAATAATAAAAGTTAAAAAGATGGAGATGGAATTGGTTCATTCCTAATGAAAGGTATTCCCAGTGGCACCACCATGTAAATTCCAGAGAGGTTAAATAAAATAAAATAAGATTCTACTTGAGTCTAAATTTTGATTATTAAAGTTGGCAGAAATAATAATAATAATAATTGTTTTTTTGTTATTTTTGTGTCTTTCTGCCACCATTTGTTTTATAATAAGAATAATAATATTTCTCAATTTTTGGTTGTCTCCCTCTTAAATCTCCTAGTGTTTTGTCTCTTAGGCTACTTATTTTTCTTTGTAATTCATATATTAATTAATAAAAATAAAAATAATTAAAAAAAATAATAATAATAATAACAATAATAATAATAATAATAATAATAATAATAATAACACAATTCATATTAATATTTAACCTAATGTTAGTTTGTATTTGATTGATGAGAACAAAGTGATTGAACGAGGATCAATTTGACAGCCACTGAGAGTGAAATCAAAAATCTTGAAATTCAACTTATGTAAAGAATAGAATAATAATATCACAATTTACTACTAATAAATTGCTATCAACGACAAGTCTGACCGGAAATGAATTAATGTCAAATCATCTAATGAAATTTTATAGGTCATTTATTAATGACAAGTATCAGACTCACCAACAATATTTAAAGTAAGATGATCTAAGATCATTATAACACATGTATAGATCATATATGTATTGCTTGCAAGTGGTTTTGTCTTTTAATTATAGACAATGGACTATCATGAATTTTCGTTTGTCATGGGAACTCTTAAAGTACAGACTAAGGCATGGTTTGAAATGACCAGCAAATTAACCATGTTGTATCCAACCAGTTAGTATGATGATTACAGTTCATAAATAATTGGATATTTGAGTGAAAGTGCTTTTTGTTATTTTAGAACAGACTTATTATATTGATTGCAGACTTGCATGCAGTATTCTATTCTGATCATTGCTTTCTGTGTACATATTAACATCATTAAATTTGACATTGGAAATATCTAGAGGGTAACAGCATTTCCTTTTAAAACTCTATTATCTATGGTAACAGTTTCTACAATATACTATAATAGTGACAAATTAAATTTGAATGACTAAACACTATTGATAAGTTAGTCTTGTGCTATTCGTAATTATAATGATCTTATTTGTCTATATCTAATAAAAACCTCCTCATTTCATCATAGTCCTCATATCCTTCACTTGAAGTCATTCTTGTACTCTTGAAGCATTTGAAATATTTTGTTTTCTTTATCACTTGACAGACAATAAAGGTGAGCAGTCCTATTAAGATGAGGACATTCAGTGATGCAATAA